AAAAATTCATGTGGGTACTCAAATGAAAGCTCTTGATAAGTGTAACATCAGGATGAGCTTATATCTATAAAATATATATTACATATATATGTATATATGAAAAATTGATGTGGGTACTCAAATGAAAGCTCTTGATGAGTGTAACATCGGGATGAGCTTATATCTTAAAAAACATTAATATTCAAGAAAGTACAGAGCAGTTTACCAAAAATCATTATTTAATAAACTAAAATTTTATGTATTTATAGATCACAAGTTACTGCAGTCACGTAGTCACTGCAAAGTTGCTATCTATTATTAAAATAAATTGAATAAACTTTAAAGTTAAGATTAAAAAAGTAAACTTAGCTTATTGTCCTCACTTGAGGTTAAAAAAAATAATTTGATTGAGCAAGGAATATTGTAATTCCCTTTTACCGTTTGGTTTTATATCAGCATTACAGAATTTTTATGCCTTTTAGTATTCTTGGATGTTTATGAAACGTAAAACCGTGAAAAAGTTTGAAAGAGGTTGCGGATATAAATATATACTTAGGATAGAGAGATAGAGTATTAAAAAAGCCGAGGCAATATTCCGCGGTATTACGTATACATTTATCCGTGAAACTTTTTATTATTAAAGGGAATACGAGCAGAGCCGCATCAAAAGTAGCTTATAAATGAACCTGTATTTGCATATTTACATAAGTGTGTAATACTAATAATATTACCGAGCCTAAATATGATATTATTAAGCCGGTTTTTATTTATCATCGGAACATTTAATCCAATTGACGAAATTCAATCCCAAGTTTGTAATTTTAGGTCGGAAAAATTTCCGGATTATAAATTTATATATTGCTGAAAAATATTTTTTTTTTTTATTGTTATTTTCATTGCATTGTTTTTGTGAGGTAACAAACAGAGTAAAGCGCCTGAGGCATCTTTTTGATCCTCCTCCAATTGCCGATACACTTTAATCCGCAAATGGTCTCACGAGAAATTGGATAGCTCCGTCAGATTGAGGTTTATTCGGATTGAATTACTTATCGGGTGTGTTAATCGAGGTCGAATATTTTATCTCAAGCTCATTTTTATATTCGACAGCTCTCAGATTAACGAGACCTTTGAATCCTGATATTATGTTTAATAACAATAAAAAATAAAGGTCAAATGTATAATTAGAAATTTCTTTTCTTTTTTTTAAATTATGATATGTATAATTAAATTATTTGCTACCAAAATTTTATTATTTATAAAACTAACATTACTTTTTTTTAATTGTATAAAAATTGAAAAATATGGATGTTAAAATTCTTGATACAATTATTTTAGATTATTATTTACGCATATAAAAACATTGATCACTTTTTTTGTAAAAGTTAGTTTTGGAAAATTCCGACAGGTGGCGCATGGCCGCTGAATCTTCTCGATAGAAGAGAGTTAACTTTTATCAATTAAAAGTAAAAGGCACGCGAAATACTAGTTGATAGTATTTAATTAAATAAGAAATTACTTTATAATAAACGAGTCTCATTTAATTTAAATAAATTGTTATCTCAGTGAATAGCTAAAAATTTTTCCAAATCGTAAATTACGACATCAACTCGGTGGATCGTTAAAAAATAAAGTCGGAAAAGCTTTATTGTGATATTACAGAAGGAAGAAATAAAAAAAATATTTACGTTGATCTTTTATCAAAAAATCAGCACGGTTGAAGGCCCGTCTGTATCCACGGAGATCTTTGGATCCTCGCAGCGGGGCATCGAGAGCATAGAACTCAGTGGAGCATCTTCTAACAGGATTATGAAAGACGGATACGCGTCAAAGAAATAGAGTGGCATTGTGGGCTCGTACCAACACAACAACTGATCGTTCTAATGAAACGCACTCGATATGTGAATATTTGGACATGTTAAATAAAATTGATGTTAATTATTGTTAACTTTTATAATTATTTTTGGTTAATTGCACTTTACTTTATTAAATATTTACGTTTTTGAAGATATAAGCTCATCCTGATGTTACACTCATCAAGAGCTTTCATTTGAGTACCCACATGCATTTTTCATATATTTTTCATATATACATATATATAATATATATAAATATATAAGATATATAAAAAATTGATGTGGGTACTCAAATGAAAGGTCTTGATGAATGTAACATCGGGATGAGCTTATATCATTAAAAATGTCAATATTTCACGAGATACAGGGTCATTTCTCAATTATGTATCTAGAGATAGAACATTTTCGAATGCAGCCTAAATACTTATCATCAAACTATTTTCTCAGTGTGAAAAGCCGAAATTTGAATTTGTAATAATAATAAAATAGATCAAATTAGTTTCGACGTAAAAAAATAATTTTTTATTGAATAAAGTGAAGAATAATCGCTACATCTGACATTATTCAATCTGGATATCTAAAGAGAAGACATGCAAATCAAGAATGTATTATACATATATTATATATATTTACGGCTTAGTTTAAAAAAAAAATATAATGGAAGATCACCTGCTTTGTAAAACTCACATACCAAAGTAATTCAATCCTTTATTATTGTGATATTTTTAAAAGAGCTCTAAATCCTACAACAAATGATACGACTAACGACTTACAATTTTTCCTTTTGACACCAGTAATTAATTACCTGACAACCCGAGACTCTCTGTTAAAGTCTTCTACTAGTATTAGGGCGGACAGAATCTTCTGACTGGGTTTTTTGGTAAACTTTTAAAAAATCATTATCTCCAACACTTAAACACACCAAAAGTGAGGAAATAAATTGCTCTGGGACTTTGGAGAAGGTAATAAGAAACCAAAAGGTTTTTCTTTGATCAACTTCAAGACTATTTTTCACAGTGACACTCTATTGATAAAAGATAAAAGATTGTCGTCTAAAAAACGTAACTAATTGCTTCTAGAAAGTTTATTCACCTTTTTTATTACAAACTAATTTATTTAAAAAAAAAAAGTAATTATTTATCTTGATTTTTTCCAATTTTCCAAATTTTGATGTGTTCAAAATTAAAAAAAGATTTTTTTTTTTGAGCATTTTAAAGTGGATATTTTTATTCTTGACACCTTGAAGGACAATCATACTCAATTTGAAGTTAATCCATCGATTAGAACCAAAGTTATCCATAAAATGTCATCTGTAATAAGATTAATAATTGTCAAAATTTGATTTTTGGGATTTTTTATAATTTTAAGGTTTAAAAATTTTATTTTTTACATTATTGACATTCTTAAGTACATTTTTAATTAATTAAAGCTATAAAAATTGACAAAATCCAAAATTATCCTTTAAAATTTATTAATAATAACATTAACAATGTTCAAAATTTGATTTTTGGCATTTTTGAAGTTTTTCTGATACTTTTTCATAGCTTTGATTAATTTTTACTCTCAAGATCAAATTTTTAATAAATTAAACTTAGAAAAATTTGATAAAGTTCAAAATTATCTATTAAAATTCATTAACAATAACCAAAATTTGATTTTTGGCATTTTTGAAGTTGTTCTGGTACTTTTTTATAGTTTTTATATAAATTCACTTTCTAGCTCAAATTTTTTAAAAATTAAACTTAAAAAAATTTGAAAAAGTTCAAAATTATTCTTAAAATCTTTTATAATGACCAAAATTTGGTTTTTTATCAAATTTTAATTTTTTCTTTTACTTTCTTTTGTGTTTATCTGAATATTTACATTCTCAACCACATTTTTAATTATTTACAGCGTTAAAAATTGATAAATTCCAAAAAAAGCCATTCAAAATTAATTTTTAGGCACTAAAATGGTCAAAATTATAATTTTGACTTTTTCAATGTATTTTTAATCTTTTTTTATTTATTTTTCAGATTATTCATAACCTCGACCATATTTTCAATTAATTACATCCAAGAAAAATAAACAAAATTCAAAAGTATCCTTTAAAATTCAATTATAATGATCAAAATTTGATTTTTTGACATTTAAAATATTTTTTTGATTATTCTTCTTTAATTATAAAACAATTTACTTCTTAGGTCAGATTTTCAATTTTTTGCACTTAAAAAAATTGATAAAATCTAAGAAATATCCTTGAAAATTCATTACTAATGCCCAAAATTTGATTTTTCAAAAAAATTAAATTTTTTTTATTAAAAAAAATTATAATATAAATGTCAATCTTTCTCTTCCAAATTTAAAAAAAAAAAAAACAAAGTCTACACAGAAAAAAAAATTAATTAAATAATTTAAAAGAAATTTTCTTGATTTAACTAAATTTGACTTGATTCAAAACAATGAAACTCTTCTATATTATTTTTTTTATTCAAAAATGTTTCTCTTTAACCAATTTAATTTTTTTTGCACGCCTCATAAGCGAAGCGTTATTATTTTGCTTTTTATATTTTATTTTAATCAATTTTATTGTGAGTGAGGTGTGCACTTTTGGATTTTTCAAAATTTTTTCTGTGTATCCCAGCAAAAAGGGCTCTCTAATCTAAAGAAAATCACCCTCTTTATATATTAATCCCATAAATCAAATCTACAACACTTCATTACCGATCATCACGTTCCACAGCACGTAATAACAAACCTTGAAGCTCAAACGTCGCTTTATCCAAAACCAAATGAAGCGTTACAGTTTATATCTGTCTGGAAGACTCCAAGTCTTCATAATAGTCTTTGTAACATCAACAGATATCTTTTGTCTGATTGTCTGAAGCAAACTAGCAACCTTTGTGCAGTTACCTTCTCCAGTAACTTCCACTAAAGTAGATCCCGGCGAAAATATCCATTTAAATACCTCAAAAATCTCCAGGACTGCGAGTGAAAGTCGTCGAAAAAGCGTGACAGGCTTCTCGCGAGGGAAACACAGGTCCCATGCACTCCAACAGAAGCGGATTCTTATCAGCAGCTTGGCAGAAATCCACCTCACTGATGTGTCCGTCGCGGTCCAGGTCCAGGTTCTTCAAAATCATCTCTACTAAATCCTAAAAGGACAATTAATGATTTTTTGGGCTTGGATAGGTTTAAAATCACTCACTTTTAAAGATTCGGACTGATCCTCGTCACTCAGCCCCACCAAACAGCCTCGCATGTTCAGATAAATCTGCTCGCGCTTCACTTTTCCGGACATCAGTGAGTCATATACGTTGAAGGCAGCTTTGGATCTTTCGGACAAAGTTCCTCTTAAGGTCAACGACAGAGCTTTGATCCAGCGCTCCAGGTCCAGGTGCAGCGCATTTTGATCCGTCAACACGGAAAATATTCTGTCGATTAACAAATGGCGGATGTTTTCGGTGAAATCGAATCCTGCGTGCAAGATGTCGTGGAATGATGATCTTGTTATTGGGCCGCGGTCGTTGACAACTTTTAGGTAGATCAAGGCAAGAGCTGGGACCAAATCAATTACAATTATTTACAATGGAAAAAATATTGGAGAGTTACATTAATTTTTAATATTGTTAAAGTTACAAATAATAAACGCGAAAAATTAATCATTTTACGGACTGGTCCGTAAATTTAACTTACAAACTTTATAAAGTATTGCTGTTATTAATTGTTAATTAAAATATTGGTATTTTATAACAATTTTAGAGAAAGTCCCTTATTTTTAAGGATTTAAATATTTAGAACTGCAGGGAAATAAAATGTGTCTTAGTAAAAGTAGTATAAAATCTAAAGGAGTTTTTGGTTGCAATAAAATAACAATGCACTGAAAAAAAAAGTTTTTTTCCACCCAGAATACAAAGTATTTTTATCCAAGTTTTTTTATATCCAATATACGTTTTCTTAATATAAAAAAACTGGTATTCTTTGCCTGAGAATACCTAAGTTTTTTCTGGAGCTAAAACTTTACGCTGCGTTACCATAGCAACCGCCGCCAATTCTCTGATTTCCCTCCAATTTCACAGTCCTGGCGTGTTTGTTTACATCATTGGAAAGTTGTATATACTAATTTATTATTTATTGAACAATTACCAAGCTGTATTACATTTGATCTTAAAATTTGGATGGATTTTTGGGTAGGAAAAAAGTTGCTCAAATGGGATTTACCATCTCTAAAAAAAATCTTTGAAGGTAATTGTCTTTTTAAGAGTTATTCATTGTACAAATTCGATTCAATAAAATAAAAATAGAAATCAAGTCGTTGAAATTAATTAAAAATTGAATTTTTCAATAATTTAATTTTTTTTAATTGAATTATAATTAATTTAATTTTCTTAAATATTATGCTGAAAAGCTGTCAATTTTAAAAATTTTTATAACAAATCAATTATCATAAAAGAATACTACTAAAAAATTTTCACGTGTAATTTTTATTAATTTTCACATGTGGAATTTTTTAATTAAATTTATTTTTTTTTAATAATTTAATTGCCATAAAATTCTGAAAAAATTTTTAATGTCTGTCAACTTCAGTGTCATTCTTAAATTTAATTATTATAATTTAATTTATTTAATTTTATTAAATTTAATTATTATTGATAAATTAATAATTATTAATTTCTTAATTATAATAAAAAAGATCCACCGTATGATAAACATATCATATGCATTTGTGTCAAATGAGGTTAAGTCGGCGATATTTTTATTTGGGTATTTTGCTGAGGAGGAAACCAAGTTTTATAAAAATCACTATACTTATTAGTGTAGGAAAAAACTTTGGTATTCTCCACACAGGTATACCAGTTTCTTTATTGGAGAGAAAAATTTTCTAGGTAGAAAAAAACTTATTTTTCAGTGGACACTTAATTTTCAATATAGGTCAATAATATTGATTCTACCAGCAAAACAAAATATTTTCCCAAGTAGGCTTGAGCTAAGAGAATTCTCCCGGGAGATTTCTGCGAAGCATGCCGATTCGTTCGCACGCAATGTGCTTGACCATAAGTACGCAGTAGTAGGATGACATACGTGGTATTTTCCTGCAATAACACGTATTCTTGCCAACAACAAATGTATGTCATCAGGTACTCGATGAGTCAGTCATAAGTGACAAGTCCAGGTGAACAGACATCATGTTAGCTGTTAAATTTTTCTTAAAAAGTATCCTTTTGTATTTTTTGATTGTGAGTGTGATCAAGTGCAACGACAACATTGATTCCTTATGACAAACGTCTTTAAAAGCCCACATTCATACGGTAATATATTTTAAGTAATTTATCAAAAATAGTGCATTGATATTGATTTTTACCAACAGAGGAAGTTGCTGGGGATGTGCTTTCCTGATGAGTTGAACCCGGTTGCGGTTACTATCGATCTGATCGACGTCGTCTACGCAATTCCGAGAAATGAAACCATCGAGTCATCAGTTGTTGTCATCGACGGTAATTTCTCATCGAAAGCAATCCAAAAGTACTACCCGCGGCATCCATCGTTTGTTTTGTCGGGAAATTCCATAGATACACTCAAGGCAATTCTACTTGAAGTAAAATCTGCGGAAATTTGGAACGTAAAATCACTGTTCTTGATCATCGGGACGCAGTGCCAGGATTCAGCTCAGTCATTGAAATTGCTTTGGGAAATTGAAGCTGTTGCATCGTTTTTCATTTGTCGAGATGATAAGAGTAATAGAACTATGATCTATACTTTTAATCCGTATTGTAACTACGCGCCGAGACCTTGGAGACGAGTGGAAATTGATAGAGAACCAGGGAATCAATGGACGTTATTTCGTCAACCCTTCAGTAATGGTATTGTATACAGAAAAAATTATCTTTAATATTCACTGTGAAATTCATGATAAAAATTATCAACATACCCAATGATCTTTTCTCAATTGTTTCAACAGATCCAACAATTTGTCAGAGCATCAAGTTTGACAAATCCAAACATTTAAACGGCTTTCCAATTAAAAGTACAATTTCAAATGATCGAGAAGAAGTTATTATTGGCAGAGTTCCATCAACATTATATAAGAAGTTAAAACCAGTGAACGCCGCTTTATTCCGTAATTTGGATTCAGTATCAAATAGCACCCCGATAGTATATATTACTGAATATTATGATAGGGATACCTTCTACAATGGTAAATATGATCTTCATATGCTATCGTTTTACCTTAAACAGGTCGATGAAAAGTATTATGATTTTTTGAGCTTTTATAATCAGGAAGGGTACGTAATTGTCACAAACAAGCAAAGCACCGTGCTGGTAATTAATCGAATTGTTGGAAATTATTTTAATGTCTGGACATTTTCTATCTCTTGCTTTATTTTAATTATGATTTTGATCGTCATTTATATAAACAACAACCGAAATTTACGCGAAGCTCTTTTGGATATGTTGGCGCTGGTCTTAGACATGGATTTGTTAGTGCCGCTAAGTAGAATATCTATGAAAATTGCCTTCTTTTCCGCGACATTGTTCATGTTAATGTTTAATCCCGCGTTCCAAAGTCAAGTGACTTCTCATCTGGCAAAGCCAGCTCGTCAGCAAATCCATACATTAGAAGATTTATATCAAAATCATTTTTATGTAAGACATAGTGTTAAAATCAAAAAAGAATTGTTAACTACGGGATTGTGGTCAAAAAGATCTGATCAAAAATATTTACGTGGACAACGATGGTTGAATTTTAGCAGTTGTGAATCTTTCTTGAAGAAACCTTCAACCGCTTGTATAATAGGTACAAATAGGCTTCCTGATACATTACCTGATGAATTTCACGTATCAAAATACCTGTACTTTAGCGAATATATCGGTGCTGTAAGTAGAAGAAACTGGCCACTCAAAGATAAACTCGATAAGGCGGCAATGAATTTTGTCGAAGCCGGGAACGTGGACTTTTTCGAAAAACAGTCTTTTCTTAAAAAAATGTTACGGTTCAAGAAGCTAATCGATAGGATTAAAGCGAACGAAAAATATGACCAGTTAGATTTCGGGTATTTCAAATTTGACTACATTTTGATTCCCCTGTCATTATTCTGGACGATTTTAGTGTTGATTATCGAAATAATGCACAAACGATTCATAGATTGGAACGAAAAACGATTACGGGAATTGAGGTTCAAAAAGTTGCAGGCTCGCTGGATGATAGCGTGTGCCATTAAACAAATGGCTGGGGTACCTCAAAATATGCAAAATGTTTAGTTATCGCGTGAGTTATGTCGGAGGAAAATTATCGATTGAACTTTAAAATTGTCCTTGGAATTGTTGACACATTAATATTGCGGTGAATTTTTGGATCAGTTACTTATTTCTAAAGATTTGCATTTAGTGATTATTGCTGTTCAATGTTGGTGTTTAGAATAAAAGTTGCTCAATATTTAGATCTACCCTAGTAGAATTAGTTTTGGAGAAGAGACTATTCGATTTTGCATCGAGAATTTTTCTAGATTTTTGGATATACTTCCTCGAGGTTAGTTCCAAATAGTTACTTACGCTTTGGCTTGATTTTGTGACAAATTTAATACATAATTTCACCAATAAACTTTTATAAATTTCGAGATACTTGAGGCTCTGAACTCATATCATAAAAGACAAGAGTTCTAATAAAAATTGTGGAATTTACCGAAAATAGGTTTAGGATATTAATTACAATGTCTTTTTTTGCTCATTTCCAATTATCACATTTTAATTGTACTTCCGACTACATTAATTAGCATTTTTAAGCATAATTTTTAATTTGCGTACAGACGCTAAAAAGTACTAGGATATGTTTAAAATCGCATCAGAAATTTAAGAGTTTTCTAATAAATTGTTAAGTGTGTTTTCATAATTTTTTTTTACTGATAGCTGAAAAAAATGATTTGTAAATTTTTTTAAGATTTGGTAAATATTGTTAAATATTTGTTCCTAAGTGAAATTATATGCAAGTTTTAACATTCCATAATAAAGATATTTGACCAAACCACAAACGGAAATTACTCATTATGGATTTTTTTTCTAAACCCTGTCAATGCCTAGAACAGTCCAGTAATTAACACTGCTAACCACACACAGACAAACTTTGTATGTATAAATCAAATAACTGCTCTGTGTGAACCAATCAACGGATGGCCACGTATCCATTACCCTACAACTTTGTGGGGGAAATGCGGCGTTTGTCGACATTTTCTGTTGTCTCAGTAACAAAAAAATACTGAAAGAGGTAAGAGAGGATTCCTTGCACATTATTAACGTTCTACAAAATATCAAAACAATTTTAGCAGTAAAATCCCTTTTTTTTTTTTATTGAAATAACCCAATAGTGGTTTTGAGTACAATAAGTATGAAATTTTTGCAAAAGATGCAATTGAAAAGTATTGTTTTGCCTTTATTGATTATTGTGAGTGTGATCAAGTGCAACGACGACATTGATTCCTCATGACGAACGTCTTTAGAAGTCCACATTCATACGGTAATATATTTTGAGTAATTTATCAAAAATAGTGCATTGATATTGATTTTTACCAACAGAGGAAGTTGCTGGGGATGTGCTTTCCTGATGAGTTGAACCCGGTTGCGGTTACTATCGATCTGATCGACGTCTTCTACACAATTCCGAGAAATGAAACCATCGAGTCATCAGTTGTTGTCATCGACGGTAATTTCTCATCGAAAGCAATCCAAAAGTACTACCCGCGGCATCCATCGTTTGTTTTATCGGGAAATTCCATAGATACACTCAAGGCGATTCTACTTGAAGTAAAATCTGCGGAAATTTGGAACGTAAAATCACTGTTCTTGATCATCGGGACGCAGTGCCAGGATTCAGCTCAGTCATTGAAATTGCTTTGGGAAATTGAAGCTGTTGCATCGTTTTTCATTTGTCGAGATGATGCAATTAATAGAACTATGATCTATACTTTTAATCCCTATTGTAACTACGTGCCGAGACCTTGGAGACGAGTGGAAATCGATAGAGAACCAGAGAATCAATGGACGTTATTTCGTCAACCCTTCAGTAATGGTATTGTATACAGAAATAATTATTTTTAATATTCACTGTGAAATTCATGATAAAAATTACCGAACTGGTATTGTAATTTAGTGTCCTGCTTCAAAATTTATCAGCTTATAACTGTAAAAATTACCGTACTCTTCCGTAATATCAAGAAAAAAATTTTAATGCAACTTACTGCACTTGAATTAAATTATCATTGGACTTATTGTAATCTAAAAAATATTATTATTGATTGTTTAGGTTTTATATTTTGGGAAAATTAAATTGCAGCATAATAAGATTGAATGTTCTAATTAATTATTTTTACTTTTTAATTTATTATTATTATTTTTAATTTTTAATACTATTATTTAATTTCCTTTTTAAGGTTATTCTACTTGAAAATAGATTCAGAATAAATAATAGTAAAAAAAAAAATCCCAAAAGTCATTAAAGTACATAATTACAAATAATATTCAATTTTCCACATTACGTTATGTTCTATGATAATCTTCATTTTCGCGGTAACCTTAAAAAAAGTTTATGACCATGTACTGATCAGATAGTTAAATTCAAGAGAAAACATCGAACCATGAATATCATTTTCTTTAAAATTTATCAAAATTTGGTTCAAAATTTTTTTGTTGATCAGTGTGTAGATCAACAGTCATTTTTAAAATAAGCCAATGATGTTTTCTTAATTGTTTTAACAGATCCAACAATATGTCAGAGCATCAAGTTTGACAAATCCAAACATTTAAACGGCTTTCCAATTAGAAGTGCATTTCAAACTCATTCCGGAGACGAAGTTATTATCGGGAAAATTCCACCAATAATATATAAGCCGTTATTACGTCCAATGAGTATTGCTTTATTTAAAAATTTGGAATCAATATCAAACAGCACCCCGGTATTATATATGGGTAGTCATTTGAATAGTATCACTGACAAGCGTAAATATGATCTCCAAATGTCATTGGTCCTTCTGAAGAGCCTCAAAAATTCTAATTTTAATTTTTTGAGCTTTTATAATCAGGATGGGTACGTTATTGTCACAAACAAGCAAAGCACAGTCCTGGTAATTAATCAAATTGTTGAAAATTATTTTAATGTTTGGACAGCTTCTATCTCTTGCATTATTTTGATATTGATTTTAATCGTCATTTATATAAACAACAACCAAAATCTACGCGAAGCTCTATTGGATATGTTGGCGCTGTTTATAGACATGGATTTGATGGTACCGCTAAATAGAATATCTATGAAAATTGCCTTTTTTTCCGCAACGTTGTTCTTTTTGATGTTTAACCCCGCGATCCAAAGTCAAGTGACGTCTCATCTGACAAAGCCGGTTCCTCAGCAGATCGATACATTAGCTGATTTATATCAAAATAAATTTCAGGTAAAATATGTTGAAAGTCTTCATGAGGAATTGTTGTCAATGGGATTGTGGTCAAATGAATCTGATCAAAAATACTTACATGGAGTAAGGTACTTGTATCCCAACGATTGTGAAGCTTTTTTGAAAAAACCTTCAACCGCTTGCATCATGCGTACACATCAGCTTCCTAACTATTTCCCTGATGAATATCACCTATCAAAATACCTCTACTTTAGCGAATATGTCGGTCATGTAAGTAGAAGAAACTGGCCACTCAAAGATAAATTCGATAAAGCGGTAATGAATTTTGTCGAAGCTGGGAACGCAGAATTTTTCGAAAGACAGTCTACTTTTAAACAAATGTTACGGTACAAGAAGCTAATCGATAGGATTGAAGCGAACGAAGAATATGACCAGTTAGACTTCGGGTATTTCGATTTTGACTACATTTGGATCCCCCTGTCTTTATTCTGGACAATTTTAGTGTTGATTATTGAAATAATGCACAAAAGACTCAAAGATTGGAACGAAAAACGATTACGGGAATTGAGGTTCAAAAAGTCGCAGGCTCGCGAGGTGATTGCGTGTGCCATTAAACAAATGGCTGGGGTACCTCAAAATATGCAAAATGTTTAGTTATCGCGTGAGTTATGTCGAAAGAAAATTATCGATTGAACTTTAAATTTGTCCTTGGAATTATTGAAACATTAATATTGCGGTGAATTTTTAAATCAGTCACTTTTTCCTAAAGATTTGCATTAAGGTATTATTGTTGTTTAATGTTGGAGTTTAAAATAGAGATTGCTCAATAATCAGACCTACTCTCGTAGGATTAAATTTAAAGAAGATTCTTGAACACGATTTTGGTAAAGATTTGAACAATTCTTGATCGAGACAGTTAACTAAGATTTAGTTTCCAAACTAGCGGAAAATTAAACAATATTTTCCAGCAGACCGTTGAACAATACTTGGTCTAGTTTAATTGTCGATTCTGCATCGAGAATTTTCCCCGATTTTTGGAGATATTTTCTCGAGACCAGTTCCAAATAGTTATTTAAGCTTTAGCTTGAATTTGTGACAAATTTAATACACAATTTCTTCAATTAATTTTTATAAATTTCGAGATACTCAAAGCTCTGAAAAGATATAATAAAATACAAGTTTGCTGATAGAATTTGTGAAATCGGCCGTGAGTAGTTTTCCGATTTAAATTAGAACATTTTTTTCTTCATGTACTTATTATTCTCAGCATACTCAAGATTTTTTCCTTCAATTGAATAATTTTTGATTGTAATGTAAAATTTTATGTCTGAAACATGTTAATGTACATGGAATAATTTAAATAAAAACAATATTAATGATAAAAAATGTAACGACTAATAAATCTATTTTTTGTGTAAGTTATTGATAATAAATTCTGATTTTAAAAATCTTAATTTAGAAATGTAGCTTTTAAGACTCTAAATAAGGTAAGAATCTTTTTTTTTCTCATGTAGATCATCTCAAACTGGATTTCCAAAAATTCTACTTCTGGGTAAGTCATCAACTTAATTTTTGCTATAATACAAAATAAAAAAGCATGGTATTTTTTGAACATAAAAGTTGTAATAGTAGTCTGAAAAAAATTTATTTTCGGCTATAACTCTTAATTAACTTCAAAGGAGACACCTTAAAGTTTTTAAAAAGATATAAATGATTTTTTGTGACAAGTAAAAAATTCAATTAATTCGACACTCTTAATTTTCAATGTAGGTCAAAAATATTGATTCTTTAAGCAAAACAAAATATTTTCCCGGGTAGGCTTGAGCTGAGAGAATTCTCCAGGGAGAATTCTGCGAGGCATGCCGATTCGTTCGCACGCAATGTGCTTGACCATAAGTACGCAGTAGTAGGATGACATACGTAGTATTTTCCTGCAATAACACGTATTCTTGCCAACAACAAATGTATGTCATCAGGTACTCGACGAGTCAGTCATAAGTGACAAGTCCAGGTGAACAGACATCATGTTAGCTGTTAAATTTTTCTTAAAAAGTATCCTTTTGTATTTTTTGATTGTGAGTGTGATCAAGTGCAACGACAACATTGATTCTTCATGACGAACGTCTTTAGAAGCCCACATTCATACGGTAATATATTTTGAGTAATTTATCAAAAACAGTGACTTGATATTGATTTTTATCAACAGAGGAAATTGCTGGGGATGTGCTTTCCTGATGAGTTGAACCCGGTTGCGGTTATTATCGATCTGATCGACGTCGTCTACGCAATTCTGAGAAATGAAACCATCGAGTCATCAGTTGTTGTCATCGACGGTAATTTTTCATCGAAAGCAATCCAAAAGTACTACCCGCGGCATCCATCGTTTGTTTTGTCGGGAAATTCCATAGATACACTCAAGGTGATTCTACTTGAAGTAAAATCTGCGGAAATTTGGAACGTAAAATCACTGTTCTTGATCATCGGGACGCAGTGCCAGGATTCAGCTCAGTCATTGAAATTACTTTGGGAAATTGAAGCTGTTGCATCGTTTTTCATTTGTCGAGATGATGCAATTAATAGAACTATGATCTATACTTTTAATCCGTATTGTAACTACGTGCCGAGACCTTGGAGACGAGTGGAAATCGATAGAGAACCAGGGAATCAATGGACGTTATTTCGTCAACCCTTCAGTAATGGTATTGTATACAAATAAAATTATCTTTAATATTTACTGTGAAATTCATAATAAAAATTATCAAAGTAAGCCAAAGATGTTTTCTGAATTGTTTTAACAGATCCAACAATTTGTCAGAGTATCAAGTTTGATAAATCTAAAAATTTGAAAGGATTTCAAATAAAAAGTACGATTCCATTTGGTCTCAACGAAGTTATTATCGGCAGAATTCCACCAGCAATATCTAATTGGTTATTACCAGTGAACGTCGCTTTATTTCAAAGTTTAGAGTCAATATCAAATAGCACCCCGGTAGCATATATTACTAATAATAATGATGAGAATATCTTTTACAATGGTAAATATGGTCTTTTAATACCATTGTGACGTTCTGGCAAAAGATTTGAATTATGAATCGATAATTTATTTTAAATGTAATAAACGAATTTCTCGGAATTACATTCCAACGGAAATTTTAGACGATAAGAAGTCATCGCGGCCCGCGAAACGTTAATATACCCACGTCAGCATGGGATCCGGGCCTCGACGACGTTCCCGAAGTGTAACCTGAACCCAACAATGGCTGCCACAGATCATTTTGTATAATTAAATAATTAACTAAGTCAGTCGACCGGGAGAGCTCTTCGAGCTCGGACCTTGTCCACCGGCTTCTATCTAATTTTGTTCGTATCATTAAATTTTTATATTATAATGTTAATCTTGACTAATTATTTCTAATAGGGGCGAGCGCTTCTTAGCGTTCTACCCTATTTCCTAATATTTCTATAGGGGCGAACGCTTATTAGCTGTTCCACCCTGCTCCTATCAGTAAAAAAAATTAAAAATAATCATATTAATAAAAATCATGGTAAGAGAGATCATCTGTGCGGCCCACCTGGGGTCTATCGACTCCCTAACGAGACTAACCTGGGATTTTTAAAATTATTGAAAGTCGTTATCTGGAAGACCCAAAATTCCAGAACGTTACAGTATATAGTCCCATATATAATTATATATGCTTATATATAATTAACATACATAAAACTTTTTTCTTTGAAAAAAAATTTTTTTTTGGTAATCACAAAAAGTGTAAAATGATGTTTATAATTACATTTAAATGATTCTGAAATACAAAATTTGTCTCATTTCCTATGAGATGTTTTGTCTGCTCTGCTACTACCTAATAAAGTCATTATTTATTTTATTATTTTAATAAGTGTTATATTATAATGAAATTCGGTAATAAATTTTTATATTATAATGTTAATCTTGACTAATTATTTCTAATAGGGGCGAGCGCTTCTTAGCGTTCTACCCTATTTCCTAATATTTCTATAGGGGCGAACGCTTATTAGCTGTTCCACCCTGCTCCTATCAGTAAAAAAAATTAAAAATAATCATATTAATAAAAATCATGGTAAGAGAGATCATCTGTGCGGCCCACCTGGGGTCTATCGACTCCCTAACGAGACTAACCTGGGATTTTTAAAATTATTGAAAGTCGTTATCTGGAAGACCCAAAATTCTAGAACGTTACACCATTGTATCCTCTTAAAAAGGTCGATGTAAATAATTATGATTTTTTGAGCTTTTATGATCAGCTAGGGTACGTAATAATCACAAACAAGCAAAGCACAGTGCTGGTAATTAATCAAATTGTAGAAAGTTATTTCAATGTTTGGACAGTTTCTATTTCTTGCATTATTTTGGTATTAATTTTGATCGTTATTTATGTGAACAATAACCAAAATTTACGCGAAGCTCTATTGGATATGTTGGCACTGTTCTTAGACATGGATTTGATGGTCCCGCTAAATAGAATATCTATGAAAATTGCCTTTTTTTCCGCGACATTGTTCATGTTGATGTTTAATCCCGCGTTTCAAAGTCAAGTGACGTCTCATCTGACAAAGCCGGCTCGTCAGCAGATCCATACATTAGATGATTTATATCAAAATAAATTTCACGTAATATTTAGTAATGATATTTATAACGAATTGTTAATACTGGAATTGTGGTCAAATAAATCTGATCAAAATTATTTACATGGAAAACGATCGTTCGATTTTTACGATTGTAAAGCTTTCTTGGAAAAACCTTCAACTGCTTGTGTCATAGGTACATTTCGGCTTCCTGATAAATTACCTGATGAATTTCACGTATCAAAATACCTGTACTTTAGCGAATATGACGGTGTTGTAAGTAGAAGAAACTGGCCACTCAAAGATATAGTCGATAAGGCGGCAATGAATTTTGTCGAAGCCGGGAATGCGGATTTTTTTGAAAAACAGTCTTTTTTAAAAAAAATGCTACGGTTCAAGAAGCTAATCGATAGGATTAAAGCAAAAGAAGAATATGACCAGTTAGACTTCGGGTATTTCGAATTTGACTACATTTTCATCCCCCTGTCTCTTTTCTGGACGATTTTAGTATTGATTATCGAAATAATCCACAAAAGATTCAGAGATTGGAACGAAAAACGATTACGGGAATTGAAGTTGAAAAAGTTGTGTACCTCAAAACATCCAAAATGTTTAGTTATCACGTGAGTTATGTCGAAGGAAAGTTATCGATTAAACTTAAAAATTGTCCTTGGAATTATTGGCACACTAACATTGTGGTGAATTTTCAAATCAGTTACTTCTTTCTAAAGATTAATAATAATATGTCCTATATTGATGATATTGTATGCAGTAAGATGAACTAGTAAAATATATCAACTTTTAATAATAAATTAGAATTAATTAGAGAAAATTCATATTCCCATACCTTCAATTTCTTCCAAATTAAAGTGCGTCTGCTTGACAAGTTTACGAAACAGCTGAAAATTTTTCCTCAAAAAAATAACCTCCTTAGATGGGTCGCCCAGCAGATCCGGCATGGTGACTTATAACTTATGATTTAGGACAGGACTTGGGACGAAAATTTGAATATTGTGAATCTGAGGTTGGATTAAACAAATGACGACACATAAATAAAGTTATTTAAAATAATAAAAAATGAAAAATCTAAAACCCGAGAAATAAGTTGTAAAGTAGCTTAATATAATCTTTTGAGTTTATTCTTTTACAGCCTTATTTGAATAAACCTTTTAGAGTGTAATCTCCTCGAGCTCTGTATCTGGTTCTCTAGAAATCGTTGATTTGAGGTGTCGAGATTTAACGCCGCTAAATAAGGAACCGAGTCACGGTTAATGTTAATACCCGAGTGTTGTAAAAATTTATTAAATATATTTTAGTGTTTCTTAATGTTGGTCGTCTAATGCCACGCGGGTCTTAAATAATATTATTATTTTGTGGTAATAGCATTATAAACACCGAACGCCCAGTGATCATCATTATGGACCGGATTTAACAGAAGCTACGCTAGAAGCATTAAAATGACAATAATGTCTTAAGTATATCTAATGATATTTTTATATTTATATTTAAGCTTCTGAGCTAAGGTTTATGGTTTGTCTAAATAAAACGGGTTTGTACTTTTGGTAGCTGGAATCTTATTTTTTAAATATGAGTTAAAATTTCAAAATTTCTCTAATTCAGTCCTAATTTATTATTAAAAGTTTACATTTTACTAATTTGTAAAGAAAATTTTTTTTAATCAATAAGAAGATCGATTTTTCTCATTCATTTATTTACTTCCGATGAATAAATTTCATTAAAAAACTTGATAAGCCCATAAATGAATTTTTAAAAAAATTAGTTCCAAAAATAATAAACGAAAAAAATTATATTAAAAGTTATTTTTACTGATTTAATCTTAAAAATTACAGTAAAATTAAAAAATTTTACTGAAACTACTATAAAATTTCGCGGAGTCTCCGGTAAAAAAGAATCTAAGTGACGGTACTATCTACCGACTTTTCAGCGGCGCTGCAATCGCTTTCGACTTTAATATTTATATCAGAAGCTCAGTTCAACTTTTCGGGTAAAAATTTGGGGACAAGTCCCCAAAAAGTAGCTATTTTGAAGTTAGCTCTCTCCAATGCATATGTAGTGCCCAAACTTTTTTTAAATTGCTCTCAATTTTAAAGGAGACACCTAGTAGCTCTAATTTTTCCAACAGAAGCTCGATAAAAATTATCTGGATAAAAATTTGCGGACAAGTCCGCAAAAAGTAGCTTTTTCGAAGTTAGTTCATAATACTTCTTTTGAATCGGCCTTACTTCCTAAGGAGACATCTAGAAACTTTAATTTTTCCAACAAAAATTCGATTAAAATTCTCCAGTTAAAAATTTGCGGACGAGTCCGCAAAAAGTAGCTTTTTAGGAGTTTTAAATTGGTCTGAATTTTAAAAATGATACCTAAAAGCTCTAATTTTTCCAACAGAAGCTTGATAAAAATTCTCCGGGAAAGAATTTGCGGACAAATCCACAAAAAGTAGTTTTTATGGAGTTAGCTTACCCCGACTATATGTGCCATCCAAACTTCTTTTAAATTGGTCTTATTTTTAAAGAAGACACCTGGAGACTCTGATTTTTACTCCAGAAACTCTATTTGACTCTCCAGGTAAAAATTTGCGGACAAGTCCACAAGAAATAAAAAAAAAAATCAAAAGATTTTACTGAAACTACTATAAAATTTCGCGGAGTCTCCGGTAAAAAAGAATCTAACTAACGGTACTAATCCACCGACTTTTCAGCGGCGCTGCAATCGCTCTAGACTTCTCAGTTGTTTACAAAATTTCATATGTCAGTGATCAGTTGACACTGAATTACAGTTAATTCTAACAACACATTTATACAATTATCATTATAAAAAAATTTAATGCAATTAGTTAACTATTAATTGTAAAGATGTGCTTTAATGACATTCTTAATTATCTATAAATATTTGCTATTATTCTATATATATAGATTGTAAAATGAAATAACCTAAAAAAATAAATCAAATTAAAAAAATCAAATAAACATTTAATGTTGTTAAATTAAAATCAACTTTTTTTTAAACATAAAACCTAGAAAATTTATAATAATAATATTCCATTGATAATAATATGTCCAATAATAATTATATTTAAGGGTAAATTTAAAAAAAAATTTCTTTTTGTGCATATTATCATCGATGGAATGCCCCATAATTGAACTTTAATATCCATAATGATTTTCCAAAAATTCATTAATTCTTAATTTAAGTTTCTAAAAAAAATTTTATGTAACTAATACCATCTAAGCATTTATTTTTTCTCGCAAAAAAAGAAAATTGCCAGTATAAAAAAAATCCACAACAAATAATAGCACAATTTTAATTAAAAGCAATGTAATAAATCTGAAAAAAAAGCGTAAATAAGAGGTTTAAAATGGCTCGGTTCGAGTGTAAGGTTATAGAGCTAAGAGCGGTTGAATTCCTGAGGTTAAATCGATCGTACAAATTGCAGTGCATTATTTTTCTCCGCATCTTGCGCACCCACAAATGTCGACGGTGTACGACGTTGAGGACCGAGGACAGCGTTGCCCGGGGCATGTTTTCTCAGCTGGCGCCCAGCCTTTCTTATCCTTACGTACCCGGTTAGTACTCTCTTCTCTTTTCTTCTCTTTTCTCTCGAGGATAATACAGACTACATACTACCATTCTACCATACAGTTAAACTACATTACTTCGATGTCAGAGTAGCAATCGGCACATCTTCACCAGTTTACAGCGCAGCCCTCGAGCCCAAGAAAGGAAAGATCCTTTTCGGGCACGGTCGGCTACCCACAAAGAAACCCACTATTTTTTCCTACTCGGTTACTTTTTAATTCTTCAGAGCTTCTTTATGAACACAACGCTTATTATATTTATATTTATATTTATTTGTATACATACAATATTCTAAATGTTCTCCTTTTTAAAACAGTCTTACCTAAAAATAATAATAATTTATAGTCAAAAAAAAATTTAATATAAAAAATTTGTATAAAGTTAATAAAAAACTCCTGCAATAATTGTCCCTTAAAACTAAAAAGACTAAAAGTTTTTAAGATCGTACTTTAAAGAACTCTGTAGGCCGTATTGATTTTAATTAAATACAGAGTATTTAACATTTATTTGAATACCCTATTCATAACAGAATTACTTTCATTTCCATTTTACTTACTGTTTCTCCTTCAGTGATGAATCCGCCCTTATAAATTTGAATAAATAAACTTGAAAGCCGACTCACTGAAGTACCTCAAATACCCAGTTTAATTTATCGTTAAATTCTGTGTCTATAATTGCTAAAATTCAATTTACTTTTTTTATTTAAAGGACTTAAATAATAATTTTTAATATTTACAGTGTATACTATCAATATTAAAATATAAATTATTTAAGATACATTTTTCTACGAACTACGGATCGATTTATATATAGAGTCTATTGTCCTGAACTCTTGATATTTTTTGTGATGTAAAAATTGGACTCGTTCTATTATTATAAAATCATCTCGAGCATCTATATCCGGTCAATTCTCTTTTACTTTTTTTTTTCCTAAAAAAAAAAAATTATAGTAATAATAATAAATTTTATTTTTATATAGATTAATAATTAAAATTTAATATTTAAATCATTTTTCTTAAGAATAATCACAAAAACATTAATTAAAATTTTTTAATTTATTAAAAAGAATTTTGATTTTTTTTAATCATAAAAAAATCCAAATATTGAATTTTAACATTTTTACAGATATTATTTGACATTTTTGAAGATATAAGCTCATCTTGACATTACAGTCATCGAGACCTTTCATTTGATTACCCACATCAATTTTTCATATATTTTATATATTTATATATATTAATATTGAATTTTAACATTTTTACAGATATTATTTGACATTTTTGAAGATATAAGCTCATCTTGACATTACAGTCATCGAGACCTTTCATTTGATTACCCACATCAATTTTTCATATATTTTATATATTTATATATATTATATATATGTATATATGAAAAATATATCAAAAATGCATGTGGGTACTCAAATGAAAGCTCTTGATGAGTGTAACATCATGATGAGCTTATATTTTCAAAATACATAATATAATTTTATTTATTTATTTTTAACATAAAAAAATTTTTATTTTCTTACAATCTAGTAAAAATAATTTTACATAAATTTTTCTATATAATAATAATAATAATAATAATAATAGGAATAATATCAATGAATTAATAAAACAAATTTGATATTTATATATTCTATTTGATGTCCATTTCCCCGAGCATTGATCACTGATCCTCTCATATTTCATTCTCTAAAGAATAAAAAATTCAAAATAATAGATTGAATAATAATAAACCATCACAAGTGGAAATAAAATTGAATAAAATATTAAAAATATCGATAATAACAATAATTCATATCTAAAATAATTTAAAATTGAATGCAAATAATTTCCCACAATTGTTACATATATTTTATATAATATACATTATTATTATCGTATTATATTTTATTATTGTAGCAAAATATAAATACAATTTGGTGTGTACATTATTATAATGCTAGTGGGATAAAGATTGCAGGATGAAGCGAGGAAGAAATCTGACTGGTGATACATAAATTGTAATCAGGCATAAGGCCA